AGGAGCCAGCCCTGCTCCAGGGCATCCCAAATCCTGCCCTGCCAAGCAGGAGCCAGGCCTGCTCTGGAGCCCGGCTGGGCTTTATATCCTGGGTGCGTTTCTGTTATGGGATATCCCTGGAAAAGAGGGGAGGAGGGAACAGGAAGTGAGGGAAAGGTTTTGGAGGGATGTGGATATTGTGTCTGAGGGGCTGGGTCTGCACCAGCCCCAGCTCTGCTCCTCCAGCCACGTGGATCCAGCTTGGATCCAGACAGGGGTTTCCTGGGCGCAGGCAGAGATTGGGAGCGTTCCTGCCACAGGCTCCAGCAAGGCTTCCCTGTCGTGCTTTGTCCCAGCCTGCAGAATGGGGCTGGACACTGTGATGTGTTGGAAATCCCTGAAAGCCACGTGGCCTACCAGAGGAAGCCCGGTGGGTTTGTTACCTGCAGATGGAAGCCAGGGATCCGTCGGTGCTGCGGGGTGGCGGCCCCAGGCCTGTGCTGAGCTCCAGGAGCGTTGGGATGACGCTCCCAGCACAGGCTGGGATGGTTGGGCTGTCTGCAGCGATGGCTGTGGATGGCCCTGATGGGTCCCTTCCTGCTCAGGACRTTCTGTGAACTCTGGGAAACTCCTGCTCTTGCAAGCAGAGCTCCGAGGAAAGCAGAAAGCAGAAAGCCGGCTGTGGTGTGAATGTGCGCGGGCAGGGGGGAGCCCTGCCCGGCCCTGGGGCTGCCTCTGCTCCGCGCAGTGTCCAACTCTCGCCTCGTGTCTGGGAAGGCAAGCAAGGTTCTGCTGTGATGGAAATGCTTGACTTGCTTACTGGGTTCAGCGGGGGGGCACGAGAGATGATAGTTCACAGAATAACCTGTGAACTTTCACCCCTCTGTATGGAAACTTGTTTCAGGGTCAAATCCTTGTAGCCGCCTTCTTGCCACGGTCAGTGCCAGCCCTACTATTCACAACACTGCGGCCAGCGAGGCCTAGGTACGTAACATTTAAGGAGTTTTTTCAGTTCTTTACATCAAAACGGATGTTTAAACTTTCTGTTGATAAGCTTTCACCGTTTAACAACTTTTGTTAATGCTCATTTGAAAGAATGTGACGACTGCTGCTGCTAAACTGGGGGGCCAAGCGCCTTTTTCCATTAAAATAAAGACAGGGGAAAGCAAAACCTGTTTGTTCCATGTGGAATTTCAGAGTAGAACTTGAATGTGCAACTGCTGTGTTATCAATCAGGTGGGGAGAGTTTTTTTTTTAGATTTAAATACGCCTAAAGAGCCTGTGAATGTGATGACTACATGTGCTTGTGTTCTGTTGGATGAGGAGGTGCCCCTGGCACAGCTGTGCCGGGATCAGTTCCCACTTCCCGAGCTGAGGAGATCTCTGGGATCAGAGCAGAGTGTTTAGAGCCGGACGGTTATCGCTTGATTAAAACACATCTGTCTGCAAAGGGTCACTGCCACTTTGGGATCACCTTAGACTTTTCCTAAGTTGTTCTTTTTTGCCAAACATTGATTTGTGTCTCGTGTGTCCGCGTGAATTTCGGGTTCCACGCACTGGTTTGGGCTAAAAATCCACAGAGATCAGGTGGATTTTTTTTTTTAATTGAGTCTGTGACAAGTTGTTAGAAACATGTTTTGGAAGTTCCCACTTCTTATTTAAAATCCCAGCACTAACTTTAGGCTTTGTTTTACTTCTCTTTTTCTGGATAGGATCAGTTCTTGAGAGCAGCGCCTGTAACTGGAGGAATGGGAGCTCAGCTGATGAGGAAAATGGGCTGGAGAGAAGGAGAAGGGCTTGGGAAGAACAAGGAAGGCAGCGTCGAGCCCATCATGGTGGATTTTAAGACAGATCGGAAAGGTGAGTCCTGCCCTGGAAATATCTTGTGGCTTCTCAGCCTCTGCTGGCTGCCTGGAGATTCTGAGTCCCTACGAAGTAGGAGGTGTTTTCTGGGTGGCTTCGCTGGAACAGGAACAGATTCTGGGATTTTGCTGCAAGTTTGCCAAGGCCTGGATTCTGTCCAAAGCTTTGTCCTTGTTTCTGTGAGCTCTTTGACTTGTTCCAGGTGTCCTTTGACTTCCCTGACCCTTCCCTTCTGGAAGGTGCTTCTCAGTGGTTCCTAAATTAGGGATCGGGTTCAGTGGGATGTTTGGAGAAGGCACAGGCAGGGAATGGTTGTGGTGACTGGGCTGGAGAAAGGGGCTGGAGCAGGACCAGGCTGGGAGAGAAGATGGAATAGTGGGGTCAGTTTTACCTTGGGCTGAGGACAGAGCTGAGCTTTGCCAGTGACTCATACTCAGGGATTTGGGGCTTCCCCGTGGATTCTGGTCTTGTTTTTTGTCCCTCATTTCCCTGCTGCTCCAGCTCTGGTCTGATCCTGCTGAAGGCACCTCTGCTTATCCTCAGGGCTGGTTCCAGAGGCAGCTTTAGCCTCCTGTGCCACCTGCTTTCCATGGTTTCCTGTCCATGGCCACAGGGAAAATCCTCTTGATCCAGCAGAACCATCCCATGGATCCCAAGCAGTGGTGGAGCTCTCTCAGCTTGGCCACTGTGGTTTATGGGCTGTGTTGATGGAAGTTTTCCTTCTGAAACATCTCTCCAAGTTCTGACTGCTTTAAATCCAAGATGCACAATTCCAGCAGTCAGMGTTTCTGATTTAATTGTTCTGCTGTGCATGGAACAAAACAACACCTCCTCACTGGCTGTGGGGCAGATTCCTATGCTCTGTGTTGTTTTTCTACACTGGGAACTTTCAATCCTGTCTAATATCAAAGGATGGAAATACTCAGAATGTTCATTTCAAGGCCAGGCTGGACATTGGGACTTGAAGGACSCTGGGACAGTGGGAGGTGTCCTTGCCATGGCAGGGGTGGCACTGGGTAAGTTTTAAGGTCCCTTCTCACCCAAACTAGTGTGGGGTTCTGTGATTTCAGGGCTTGTGTTGGCTTCTGTCCCTGCTCAGAACTGAGCTTGGAATGGCCAGCTTGTCGCACGTTTTTCTGTACAACTGTTGTGTGTAAAGAAAGAAGGGAAACCCCAGAGGTCCCTGGTGACAGTGATTGCCAAGGGCTCCTCCCCTGACCTGTGAGAGTCATCTGAAACCAGGGGTCACCTTCAGACAGCAGCTGGGCTTTGCCTTGCATTTCCTGAGTTTGAAATATTTATGCTCATATGTGCAACCTGACCTGATCATTCCCACAGAAGTTGTGCCTGGATGCAGAATCCTCTCTCCTGATGAGCCAGCCAGGTCTGTGGCACAGGGAGACGAGGAGCAGGAGATTTCCTGCTCACAGAGAAKCAGCTGGACAGGGATTATATATTCAGGACAAGTAGTTCTTCAGACATTCATGTTCTTGGGTGATTAAATGGGTAAAAAGTACATTTWAAAAAATCTGTGTGGAGTTGTACAGAAGAGTCAGGAATATTTGGCAGGAAGGCTGTTATTAAGCTGCCCACCTGGCTTTGCTTTTTGAGGAATTTATTAGACATTTTTCAACTTACTCCCCCAATAAAATACAATTCCTGGCTCCAGGAATGTGTGGGGTGCCAAGGAGTGACTCAGGAGGCTGCTGCTTGTTTGAAATTCCCTGTTGAGTTCCCAGASACAAGAGGTGGAGTCGAGTGTCAGTGAGTCAGCAGCAAGGAGAGAGTTTGAATGTGGAGGATGAGAATTCCTGGGTTGGTTTGAATTTACAGTTCTGTAAGGGGGAAACCCTCAGCCTTTCCTTCAGTGATTGTGTCTGATGGCTCTGTGCCCCTTGGGAAGTCCCTGCTTAGGAGCTGCAGGAATATTGGGAATAATCTCTAGTTAGGAAGGAAGGATTTTCTTGAAAAGCCAAAGAAACCCAAATGCCACCCAAAAAAGCTGAAGGAACAGGAAGACACTGGAAGAAATTGCAGTATCTCCCTGTCCTTATTCACCAAAGCCACAACAGGCAAACTTGAGGTAAGAAACAAATGAATATTGAAGGGTTGAAGTCTGGGAGTGACAAAATCTGTGGAGAGAAACTTGAGTTTCTCTCATGGATTGTCACTGGAATTTCAGACATTTTTGGCAATTCTTCATTTTATTTTAGTCTTACAAGATTTTCAAAAGAAGAGTATTAAGTTTTGGTGTTTCCCAGTGACTCCAGGAGAGCCTGTGCTCCCTGCATCCCTCTGGGGCTGCTCCACACTCTGCTGCATTGTTTCCTGATGGGATGGAGATCACAGCTTGGGCTGTTAGAGCACTGAGAAATTCCAAGAGCATATGGGATCGGGGTCTGTGGTGTCATTCCTGGCAGGAGGGGACACACAGGGACATTACTGGATATGGGAAACTTCATGTGCTCCCTGTGTTTGAGGCCAGTTGGGGTTGCACAGAACAGTAGGAGAATGTTCTTCAGTTGCTCTCTTGTTCGTTGTTGTCCAAAGAGGGCATGGAAAACAAGGTGTTTTCTGACTTGTGTTGACTACTCAGTTTTCTTCTACCTGGCTTGTTCAAAGTMTTCCTGGAACCTTGGGGAAGAGTGTGATATGTGGAATGGAGGGAAGGAGGGTTGAGAGCTGGGTGGAGTGTCCAGGTGTCCCCCCTGATCCCTGTTTGTGCTTTGCTGATGAGCTGCAGGAATCTGGTGGGAATCAGGAATGTCAACGTGGCTGTGTTGTTTGCAGGGCTTGTTGCTGTGGGAGAGAAGGCCCAGAAGAGATCCGGCCATTACGTGGTGATGAAGGATCTGTCAGGTGAGTTTCTTGTCTAGAGTAATCTAACTGCCAGGGGCTGCTGGGATATTAAACCTGGCATGTCTRTGTGCCAGGGAAGCACCCGGTGTCTGCGCTGATGGAGATCTGCAACAAGAGGAGGTGGACGCCCCCCGAGTTCGTGCTGGTGGACGACAGTGGGCCTGATCACCGCAAACATTTCATCTTCAAGGTGGGTCTGGACTGCTCTGCCTGCTCCTCTGTGCCAGGGATCAAATCCATGTTTCTGTTTGATAGAAACACCTCACGGGCTGCCTGAGGATGGCGGAGCTGACTCGGTGCTGGAATGTGCAAGTCCTGTTTGGAAAGGCCAAATCGGGTCGCTGGAGCACTTTAATCTGGGAAAAGGGGAGACTCGATCCCAGGGCTGGAGCTCTGGAGCCAGGCTGGGAGAGATGGGGGTGCTCACCTGGGGAAGGGAAGGATCCAGGGAGAGCTCAGAGCCCCTGCCAGGGCCTGAAGGAGCTCCAGGAGAGCTGGAGAGGGACTGGGGACAAGGGCTGGAGGGACAGGAGCCAGGGAATGGCTTCCCAGGGATATTGGGCAGGAATTGTTCCCTGGGAGGGTGGGCAGSCCCTGGCACAGGGTGCCCRGAGAAGCTGTGGCTGCCCCTGGATCCCTTTGAGTGTCCAAGGTCAGGCTGGACATTGGGGCTGGGAGCAGCCTGGGACAGTGGAAGGTGTCTGTGGCCATGGCACAGGGGGCATCTGTCTGTGGCCATGGCAGGGGCATCCATCCCAACCCAAACCTTGTGGGATCCCATGGAATGGCCATGCTGGCAGCCAGCCATGGGTTCTGTGTGCCCCCAAGAGGAACTGCCCAGAGTGTCCTGAAGCAGCCACGGCCCCCTCGCTAACCCCTGGTTCCCCGTCCAGGTGAGAGTCAATGGCAACGAGTACAGGCCCACCTTTGCCAGCCTTAACAAGAAGCACGCGAAAGCCACGGCGGCCACGGCGGCGCTGCAGGCCATGGGACTCGTACCAAAGGAAAGCATGGTCAATACCACCATGTTCAGGAGTGCCTCACACCGCTAAGCTTGGCTTTACTGGGACACTGGTTCCGAGCATTTTACTCTGCACAAGAAATGGTATTTGCCCCTCTCATGTTGTAAATACATCGGCGATTCCCACCTTGTAAAAACTGTACAGACACCCACAGGTTTTTCTTTTGTACCATCCAAATGTATTTAAATCATACTTAGTTTTTGGTATGTTTATATTGTTTACATTAGTGATGTAATTATTTCTTAAACGACTAAATCAGACAGACTCTGGAGGCATCAGAAATCCAGACCCTTGGCTGAAGCTCCCGCAGTTCCTCTCCCGCCGCAACGTTGCCCCTTTAGAGTTTTGTAGTGGCTGCAGAATGAATTCCCTGGGCTCGGGGAGGTGCTGCTGGGCAGGGCAGGGCCCGGCCRGCGCGGGGACACCTGGGGCCATACCCTCGGTGCCACCTGTGCCCCAGGACAGCCGGACGAGCCCCTGGGTGCCTCCAGAGGGACGCGGAGATTCGGACACGAGCCGGTACAGCCTCCTGCATGGCCCCAGCAGCGGGGACCTGGGGCTGCTCTTCCCAACCAGTGAATCCACTGCCTGATGCCGATTGTACGGATTTGTGCTTCATGTGAATTTTAAACTCTTAACAAATCTACAACTGGATTCGGGGGGAGGGAGGGGGTAGAATGACGCTTCAATTGTACCCAACTCGGTCAATAAAGCAGCACAAGTTGATAATCTTCATCCCTGGTCAGTAAACGGTAATTCCAACGGATGCCGAGCCAGGAAACAGGAATTTAAATATGCCAAAATGCCTTCTGCAAGAAACACACAATACAGAAGTGGCTTTGTGAGGATTCTCAACAGCCAGCAGGATGGCAGGAGAAGGTCTGGTTCTTTTTGGTTGCATCGGACTTTTACAAAATAACTCCTTGGGATGAAATGTTTCCATGCGGATCCTCTGCTCTCAAGGAGCCTGAGCTGGAGTTTGGGCAGTTGGACAGCGGAGAGGATGTAGAAAGCTTTTCCTGCTTTTTATTTTATTTTTTATTTAAGGAGCATTATTCTTTGATCTCTGTGCACGTGGCATTGGAAAGGGCAGTGCACACTTGCTGACGGATTGGAGTTAGAAGCAGGCTTCCAGGATTTCTGCACTTGGGAAAATCTGTTGTTCAGGTGCTTGTCCCGGAGAAGTCTTGGTGAGGTGTGAATGTGAGCTGGGCCCAGGGCAGGAACAAACCCAGCGAGGCTGCTCCTGAGGGATCCTTTGGCCATGGAGCTGAGGAATTCCTGCTACCTGGAGCTGCGTAGCGTCAGCGTCATGGAACAAGGAGTCTYACTGCTCTGCAGGGACAGGGGTCGATGTCTCCTGTGCAGCAGAGAATTGGGATTGGTTTGGAGACAAAAAAGCCCGTCTGAGTCTGTCCAAGCGCTCTGGAAATGCTTCAGTTGATCTTCATTTCACGGACATTGTTGTCTTGAATTAAACTTTTTTCCCTTTGGCATCTCGCCTTCAGTCTCTGACTAAATGTGTGGAGCTTGTCCTCGCCATGTGAACTGCGTGGGAGGTGTGTGAAGTGCCCAGGAGATGTGGAAAGATGCACGCTGGGATTGCTGAGGGAGGTGGGAGCAGCTCCTGATCACAGCCAGGGCTTTGGCAGAGCTCGGAGCTGCTGAGGATTCTGTTCAGTCTGTGCTGTCAGTGGCAGCTCTGGATTCACAGTTGGACACGATCATATTTGGGAATGTACAATCCCCTGTGCTTGTTCTTTTTTTKTGTGTTCCTGTTTCCCCTGGTAGGTAAAGACCTGAGTGTTCTCCCCGCATCAGAGAAATCCAGTCCCACTGAAGACTCCATTAAAAAAAATAGATCTTTAGGAGAATTCTGGATTTCATGCCTTAAAGATGTGGGGGGGGAGGGTTGTGTTCCTTGGACAGCATATCCTTCAGGAACAGCCCTGCATCCTGCAGCTGGGAGCAGCTGGGATTTGCTCGTGGAGTTCCAGCCAAAGCTGTGACCTCAGGCAAGGAGCAGCTCCAGCTCAGGTGCTGGTGCAGAGCAGGTGAGAAAGAGCTCAGTGGGCAGCTGCTGAAATCAGACTCTTCCAGACTGCAGCAGTGGAATTGTAATTCCAATGCTTTAAGTATCTGCCAGCTGCTGGTTGGGCCAGAGTCTCTTCAGAACTCAGTCTGCTAGTGAAATGGTCACAGAATGTCCTGAGCTGAAGGGACCCCCAGGGTGACCCAGTGTCACCCCTGTCCCTGCCCAGCCCCCCCAGCAATCCCAGCTGTGCATCCCTGGCAGCACTGTCCAAACGCTCCTGGAGCTCTGGCAGCCTCGGGGCCGTGCCCGTTCCCTGGGGAGCCTGGGCAGTGCCAGCACCCTCTGGGGACAGAAGAACCTTTCCCCAATATCCCCCAGACTGACTCCCAGGTACGGTATTGTCTGGAGCAGGCTGGAGGGCACAGATCCAGTGGGGATTGGCTGGATCAGAGTTGCTCTTCAGCTGAACTCAGCGAGGTGCAGCTACGGAGCTTCTGGCATGGTGCTATGAACAGGCAGAGAAGGGGTTTGGCCAAGAATTCCACCCATCCATAGGATCCCAGAAGGTTTGGGTTGGAAGGAACCTTAAAGCTCRTCTACTTGCCATCTTCTGCCCTATGGGGTTTGTAGTCCAAACTGGTTACAAGCTCCCACCTGGAGTAGGAGCAAAAATTCCATACTTGGAACAGGTGTGTGTGCATGGGGAACATCGACCTGCCAGGGCCGAACCAGACCAATAAAACCAAGTTTTATTTAAAAAACAGTTTCTACAGTAAAAAAAGGAGATATCCAAGGCCTTTCCCCTCCTTTCCTTTCAGAGCCCTACGAAGTGTTCATGTGCAGCAGCTGTCTGGGATGTGGGACTCCCTCGTGTCCCTCCCGCCCTGCCCTGCTGGCCCAAGCTCCGCACCTGCACCCCTGGGAAAGCGCATCCTGCTCCATGGACCAGCATTCCTAGACCTTCCAGGTGTAGGCATAATCCTTCATTTCCAGGACTCGGATGGACGATTTGCCCAGAGTTGGACACTGTCTCAGCTGATCCAAAGTCTTGGAATGCAGCCCGCAGGCAGGGAGGTCCTGGTGCACAGGTTCCTGTGAAAGGTGACACACGTGGAATGAGTGTTCGTGTGGGAAGTGCCTGTAGCTCCAGCTGGGGGGTTCCCTGTGTCCCACTACTCCCCTGCCGAGGGCAGGTCACGCCTCGGGGGCTGCAGGTGATGGTCACGGGTATTCAGATGCCCAGCCCTGTGAGAGGGAAGATCCCGCCGCTTTGCGTTCCCCGCTCCCGGGCATTGCCGGCGTTGTGTCCTCACCTGGGGCTGTGGCGGGGCCGGGCGGGCGTTGAAGGCAGCGCTGGGCTCATGGGGACTAAGCAGGGCACGGAAGGTGCCGTGCTGCGCCGGGCCCAGCAGCAGAGTCAGGGCGTGCAGGGCGTGCGGCAGGATGGGCCCCTGCACCTCCAGGCTGAACACGTCCTCAAAGCCCCCCTGCGCYCGGGTGCGACCGCTGACACTCCGAGCCTGGGGACAGAAGGCCACATTAGTGCTGGAGTCACCACAGCAGGGACAACTCTCGTCAGCTCTGACACTGCAGTACCACATTCCCGCTGAAAACAAAAATGCTTCTCAATATTGTCAACTCCCTGGCAATGCATGGGGGCTGTAATGGTTTTATTGTCCTTGTAACAACTCCTGAAATGTACTCCTGGACTGCAGGAATKCTGCAGGGATTGGGAAGCACAGAAGAGGATGACCTTCTCTGATGGAACAAGCTTGTCATGTTCTTTCTGGGAAGAAATTTGGGTTAGATACAGGGAAGGAATTCTTGGCTGTGAGAGGGGAGGGCCTGGCACAGGGATGCCCAGTGAAGCTGTAGCTGCCCCTGGATCCCTTTGAGTGCCCAAGGCCAGGCTGGACATTGGGGTTGGGAGCAGCCTCGGACAGTGGGAGGTGTCCCTGCCCATGGCAGGGGGTTGGAATGGGATGAGCTTTAAGGTCCCTCCCAATCCAAGCCATTCCTTGCAGGAGTAACTGCTGAGCAGCTGCTGAGCTGCAGCTCAGGGGCTCCTTGGTGCAAGGGGCTGCGATAGCCTGAKACCCCACAAAATCCAGGGAGAATCTTAACAACCATTTTCCCTCTGGGCAGTTCTGCTCAGTCTCCTGCCCCGCAGGAGGTGGGGAAAGGGGACACTGGGATGTCAGTTCAGCTCAGGGAATAAGGAACAGGCTGTGCTGCAGACAAAATGCTGACTCAGGCTTTAGCCGCAAAAATTGCATTGTGRTGCCTGAGGGGACACCACCGAGTCAGGGTCTGACCCCGTGATGAGGAAACCACTTCCCTGTCCTTCCCAGAGAAGCCATGTCCCTCACCTTGAGCGTCTGCATGGTCCCGCCCCGGAAGGCCACCGGGGCCAGCAGCGTCGGGGGCAGCCCTGCCTGTGGCCCCGCCGCGGCCACCAGGCTGCGGCAGCTGATGAGGAAATTCAGCAGCGTGAAGGTGTGGCTGCCCCTCACCAGCACCAGCGACTCGGCTCTGTGATCCACCTGCACCTCRTGCTTCTCCTTGCGGCTGGGGAGCAGAGTCCAAGGAAAACCACGGCGCAGTGGAAAGCATCCATGTGCCAAAAAGCTGGAGCAGTGAATCCCCCACACCCCATCTGMCCAAAACCCCCAAACCCAAACCCTRCCAAACTTYGCACTCRTCCAGATCCGATCTTCAGACATCAAGGTCTTAATCCTGGCCTAGAAATACTTGCAAAGTAACTAAAAAACACGTGCTGCATCTCTCAACATGCAGGAATGTGAGAATTCATATTTGCAAAAGAGTTCTCCAAAATTTCTACAGAGCCTAAATGTGTATTAGRGCACTGTAACAGCTGCAGGATTTCCCAGTGTCACACATTTGGAGGATCAGATACAGGAAGGATACAGTTGGATAGAAATAGTGTCTGGTTTCTTCACCTTGTCTTGRACTCCCATCTCCTCAAGCCAAGAGAAACTTCCATCATCATCATCATCACTGGGAGCTGGTTCACTGGAAAACACAAGATCAGTGTGTTATGAGGGCAGTGCCTCAGGAATATTTTCCAAATGGACTGCCCAGGAGTCTGGAGAAGCCCTTGAATGCCAGCACAAGATTTTTACTTACCCTGCATCCTCCACACTGCTTCCTCCTGTGATGCCATCAGCAGTTTCTGTTTCCAAACTCTCCTCAGAGTTTTTCTGTTTCCTGGTTCTACTTTCCTCCAGCAAAGGTAGGGAGAACTCTATGCCTGGGGTAGGAGAAAGGGAGCAGTGAAGAGTTCTGTCCCACACCCCCGTAGCAGTGACTCAGTCCCTGCTCTCTTACCCTCACTCCTCATGGCCTCCCGCAGGCCGCGGGTGGTGGGGGCGATGGCGGCTGTGGGGACATCGCTGCCCGCCAGCCCCGCGGCACGGAACAGCACCGAGAACTGYGCCGAGCACACGTAGAAATAGGGACACAGCCTGGCCCTGAGCAGGTTGTACAGAGAGGTGAAGCTCACAGACCTGGCAATGGGAATATACAGCGCTGTCACAGCAGGGAATTCTCTCCTCCTGACATTGGAGAGGGAATTTGAACAAGGGCTGGAGGGACAGGAGCTGGGGAATGGCTCCCCAGTGCCAGAGGGCAGGGCCAGATGGGATATTGGGCAGGAATTGTTCCCTGGGAGGGTGGGCAGGCCCTGGCACAGGGTGCCCAGAGAAGCTTTGGTTGCCCCTGGATCCCTTTGAGTTSCCAAGGCCAGATTGGACAGGGTTYGGAGCACCTTGGGATAGTGAAAGGTGTCCCTGACCCATGGCAGGGGGTGGAATGCAATGATCCTTAGGGTCCCTCCCAAGCCAACCCATCCTGYGATTCTGTGATTAATTAAAATCCCCTTGTCTCACCCTTACCCAATACACCAGTAATTTGGCTCCACTTACCAGTCACTCATGAGCAYTTGCTGCAAGGCCTCGTCCTGTGCCCAAGGACAGGCCTTGCCCGCCATCCTGCGGTCTGCACCCATGCGGGGGAACAGCGGCAGCCAGGGCAGCGACGGGTGCAGCCAGTACACGAGGCTCTGCTGGAAGGCACAGCGCAGCTCCGTGCACAGCCGGGGCTCCTGCGGATCCGAGAGGGTTTGAGGAGCACAGCAAGGTTGCCACAAACAGAGCTGCAGCTGCAGCCACCCGCCCAGCTCTCACCTGCACACTCTGGGGCAAGGTGGTTTCTRTAGCTCTGCAGTGCTGCACAAAGCCTTGTGCTTCCTCCTGAGCTTTCAGGTGTTCTGCCCAGGTGAAGGGCTGTGAGGACATGAAGACAATCCGTGTTTTAATACTCCAGTCTGCAGGGAATTCCCCTCTTGGTGAGGAGGGAACTTGGGGTACAGCAAGAGGTGAATGAAGGTCCTGACCAAATGAAAGAGCATCAGTTAACTCAGAAAATGAAACCTGTTCACAGCCTGAACCAAAGGCACAGTTTACTTTTTTTGGTTATTTTACTCACTACCAGGTTCTAATAAAAATACTCCATTCTAATGTTTATAAACCCACATGAGAGGGTTTTCACTCACATGAGTCCTTCCAACAAAACAAACTAGGAACAAATAAAAGGATCAAAGATTAAAACAAAGAAAAAACAACCCTAAGCGTGGTGTTTATGAAGACCAGAATTTCCATGCCAAAATGGTTTTTCATTTCATCCTCTCTCGGTGACTGTAAGGTCACAGGCCAAAAAGAGCCCTGGGCATCTCCAGGACAGTTTGTTCTCTTTGAGGTAATTTTGCTRTTCTTCTAAGTGAGTTTGGACTTCAGTTTCTGTACCTAGAACAATGTTCTGTACCTAGAAGGATGTCTATTGAAACTGTTTCAATTTCAAGGACTGGTTTTCAGGAATTCTCTGGTTCTTATGTGCCTGAGGAAGCTGCTCCAGTTCTGTATCTSAATAAAACACTGTAGGAGATCAATCAGGTGAAGAGCATCCTCATCTCAACTACACATAAAACTAAGAAACAGGAAAATTACAGTCAACAAGTTAATAAAACTGAAAGACAACAACCCCTGTCCATGGAACTACAGCAGCAGTGAGATCAAGGGAGAAGGCTGGGTTTTAAAGACTGTCACCAGTACAGTCAATGTCTGACACCAGTAAATGTCAATGTAAGAGATTTCCTTGAATACTGACACTTTAGAACATTATTTTATACAGAGATGAGCTACCAAATACCAAGTTAAACAGTTCCAGCTTCCTCTGAGCTCTGAGAACAGCTGAAATCTTTTCAGCCCTCTGTTCTGTTTCATACCTTGCTCAGGGCGAGGATGTCGGAACTTTCAGCAGGCTCTGCACTCCTGGGGGGCTTCTCTTCACAGGCCGGCTCTAAAAACTGAATAAAAGCAGCATAAGGCCTAGCACAAAGGAAGCAGCCGGCCGGTCACCTTACAAACTGCCCTTGCAGTGCCATTTCACAACCGAATCTCAGCACCCCAGATTGCCAACAAATCCCGCTCGGGCCGAACATAAGATCCCCACACAGCGCTGAGCAACAGCTCGAACCCAGCAGCGCCTTGGAGGAGGCGGGGCCGAGCCCCGAGCGGCACCGAGAAGGGGCTTCGGGGCTGGCGGCGATGGCTGAGGGCTGAGGGTGACGGCGCTGTGTGGGGACTGAGGGCAATGGCTGAGGGCTGAGAGCTGAGGGTGACGGCGCTGTGTGGGGACTGAGGGCAATGGCTGGGGGCTGAGAGCTGAGGGTGACGGCGCTGGGTGGGGACTGAGGGCAATGGCTGAGGGCTGAGGGCTGAGAGCTGAAGGTGACGGCGCTGTGAGGGGGCTGAGGGCAATGGCTGAGGGCTGAGAGCTGAGGGTGACGGCGCTGTGAGGGGGCTGAGGGCAATGGCTGAGGGCTGAGGGCTGAGAGCTGAGGGTGACGGCGCTGTGTGGGGACTGAGGGCAATGGCTGAGGGCTGAGAGCTGAGGGTGACGGCTGAGCACCCCAGTGCCGAGGCTCGGTCCCACCTGCCAAAAGGGCGCTGCCGATGGATCTCCGCACGCCGAGGCCGCTGCCGGAGGCTGAGGAGCGGCCGCCGYCCGCCGCGGAGCGTTGTCCAGGCTGGAGAAGGGGTTGCGGCGGCGAGCGGCCCCTGAGGGGCCCCGAGGGGCCGGAGCAGCGGCGGCTTCGGCGACTTCGGCGGGGTCGCTCCTCGGCCCAGGGCGTTTGCGCTTCAGCCGCAGCAGCGCCGGCGGCTTCTTGAAACCGGGCGAGTGCCCGGGCTCGGCGGGGGCCGCCATGGCCGAGCGGGACCCGGAGGAGCCGCGTTCCCGTCTTGGCGCCAAAGGGCGGCGGCTCCGCCCCGGGGCGGTGCTGAGGGAGCGGCGCCGCCATCGCTGCCGCCCTCAGGGGCTCTGAGGGGAGCGCGGCTCCCGCCAGCCCCGCTCCGCCTGCACGGGCACCGAACACACGGAGCACAGAGACAGCCGGGACTGGAAATTGTGTCCGAGCACTTCTGAACGTTCTGGGACAGCTGCCCGAAGGGCTGGGCTCGGCTGCGGCTGCATCGCCACACGGCTGCCCCAGGACCGGGATCCCTGAGCAGATACCGGCACCCGGGGTGCGATGGGACACGAAACACACGGGGTTCAGTCTCTTTGGGAAAAAGAAATGAGTTTTTTAGTCTGTTTGGGAGAGAAAATGACTTTCAATGGCACTCTGTTCTACCTGGGGTTTAGAAGGCATAACAATTAGAAAATTACGATTCCATGTGGTTCAAAAGTCATAAAGAGGTAGTCAGGAGCAACATCTCTACTGGGAAGATTTAATAAAATATTTAATATAATATTCAATATTACATGAAATATTTTATTAAATATATTATATTAKATTTAATATAATATTTAATATATGATTTAATAAAATAAAAACGTTACTATCAAAAACGAAAAAATCTTTCATCTTTAGTTTTGTCACTGGCTATTCTTGGTTTTTAAACTTGTTAATTCCTTATTTCATCTGCTCTATTTTGGAAACATTGAAGCAAAAAAGAGCAGCATCAAGGAAAAAAATCAYCAGCTGGGGGCGAGGCTTCAGAATGGATGTGGAACTCCCGGAGGATTCACACGTGGCTTCAGCCGTGTGTGYACAATGCACAAAAGCATCGCTCCTTTCCGAGGCTGCATTGCAGCTCACGAGGAGTAAAATCGGAGTTCCTCCTGATTTCATAGSCTTGCCGTGCATAATTTATCCAAAACCTCCTCCAAGTCCACAGAGAGGAGACACATCAAGTGTGGYTCTGGATAATCCATTTTCACTCCAATTTCCCACTGCTGCCACTGCTGTGGACTGCCCRTGTTCACGATTTGAGTCATCCACAGTGAAAATGAGCAGCAGAGCTGAAAGAGAAAAAGGTATTTTTGCTCTCAAATCAGAGCAAGTAGGAAGACAAATGTTTTGAGGAAAGAAAAATGCAGTTCCTTCCCCACTGCTTACTTGCAGGCAGGCCACAATCATGGATAATGCTGGAGAGACAGATCTGGGCTGTGCTGAGGTCAAAAGAGGGGAAGTGGAAATGCACAGCACAAGGAGATATCAAAGCATCTTAAACAACTGACTCACACAATTCCACCAGCTTGTGGACTCTGGATTTACCAGGTTTACTGCCTGAGTGCTGAAATGAAGAGAAGGGGCTGGGACAAACTCCTGCTGTGAGTACCATGTTCTCCCCTTCTGGCACCCATGCCCAACCTGGATAGTTTTGCCTGTCCTTCAATTGGRTAACAATTTAAAATGTGGATTAAGGTCTTTAAGTGTAGTATTCGGTCTCAGTGCACTCAAAGCAAAAGGTAACTGTAAAGGTTACTAGTAGGAGCTGGAGAAAGAAAGACTAATTAAAACATATTTTTTCCCCCTTTAATTTCTTAGGATTGCAAACCAACAGCAACTGAGTTTGCCTGTGGATGTTTTTGACATTTGTAACTGGGGCAGGGCAGACAAGATTTTTATGTCAAGGCTGCTTCTTTAGAAGCTGCTGATGGGAACATTCTGCTCAAGGGAATTAAAAAAACCTCTGAAGTCACAGAAACTTCAGACACCATTTGTGCTGAGGTACAAAAGATGTTTAAGTTCTGTTTACAGAACTGCCTGATTTACTCCACCAATACATTACATTTATCTTCCCCAGGCTGAGAAATAAGGAAGCTGTGTGTCAGAACTGGATGACTTGTCTTTTTCTTGCTTGATTCTTCTGAACTATTTCCATAGAAACTTTAGCTTCGTACAATGGGATTGGTTCATCCAGCTGAGGCCTAAAATGAAACAGTAAAAAGTGTCCGGTGAGCACACTCAGACCAACACAAGTATCACAGGACAGACTTTACTTTCCCTGTATCAGCCTCTCTCCTCAAACAAAGTAACAGTTTTACAGCTTTGCTCCACTGCACAGAAGAAGGGAAAAGCTCCAAAGCA